TTATATATATATATATATATATATATATTGTGTGCATGTTCTCACTACTGTTCAAAAGTTTGGGGTCAGAAAGTATTTTTTAAAGAAATGAAATTGATCAGAAGTGAGAGTTCAGACATTTATAATGTTAAAAATATTTCTATTTCAAATAAATGCTGTTGGAATGAATTACACTTTAAAATTTATTAAAATAGAAAAAAAACAGAAAAAAATTAAAATTAAATTATTTTGCAATATTACTGTTTTTACAAATGCAATCAAATAAATGCAGCCAAGGTGAGCAGAAGAGACCTACCAACCCCAAACTTTTGAACAGTAGTGTATACATTTATTTAAATATATTTATTAAACAACACACATTTCTTCAAGGATTTTAGAAGATCTTTGACCAAAACAGTTTTTTGTGTGTGTTGCAACAGTATACAGGACTTTTCCGTTTTTTTTCTCCAATGTAACAATGTTATTCAAACCAGAGAAATGAAACAGAGGTCCAGTACCTGTCGATGTGTTGCGGTGGTGCTGATTCTGATGGAGGTCTGTCCAGTGCTCTGTGCTGGAGAGAAGCTCTGTGAAGGGACTGAGAGATGGGTATGCAGTAGACCCTCTGAACGACCACCTCAACAGGACCACTCTGAGAGCCCGACGACCCACAATCCTCCACTGCGTCCAGCAGAGACTTCCGAACTCCTCGTCTGTTCAACTCACCGACCTGAGGATGGAAAAATGGAAACATTGGCATTTCATTTTTTCCAAACCACACCAATAGAAATTGTTTTTATGACTTTTACACAATATGACCACAGAATGGCACCACCAATTTATTAAGTCAGTGTCACCTATGTCACCTCAAATCGGCAACTCTTACTGAAAATGAATGGTTTACAGTTTCTCTCATTCAGTACGTTTACATTAAGACATTATGATTAAGGCAATACTCTGATTAAGAATCTACCATGTAAACAGAGATTTTTGATTACCTTAATCCGGCTAAAGTCATAATCGAAGTAAACAGAAATCGAATTAAGACATGTGGAGTATTCCTATTTTAGTCGCATTACTGAAGTGCAGTAAAGACATGTACACACCTTAAAGACCAGACTTATAAGTGCATAACCGCCACCTATCTCTCAAATGGACCATTGACACTCCATCTACAATCTCAATTAGGAGTGTCAATGGACCACTTGAGAGATAGGTGGCGGTAATGCACTTATAAGTCTGGTAAATAATTAGATTACTGATGTCCATGTAAACGTAGTCAGTGATGGCCCTTGAAGGACCAAACCAAACAGCCTTAACCACTAAATCACAACACTCTTAGCAGCTAACAAGTGGAATTTAACTAAAAAACATCTACAATACTGTTCAAAAGTTTATTAAGATTTATTTTTAAGAAATTGACGCTTTTATTCAGCAAGTATGCATTAAATTGATCAAAAGTGACAGTTAGGACATTTATAATGTTACAAAAGATTTCAAATAAATGCTGTTCTTTTGAACTTTCTATTCAAAAAAGAATCTTGGCCATTCACTGACATTATAGGACTGACAGACTGCAATGGTTTGTGTTAAAAATCTTCATTTGTGTTCTACTGAAGAAACAAATTCACCTACATCTTGGATGCCCTGGGGGTAAGCAGATAAACATCAAATTTTCATTTTTGGGTGAACTATCCCTTTAATTTGAGAAGTATGTATAAAGTTACAAAAGATTTCAAATAAATGCTGTTCTTTTGAACTTTCTATTCAAAAAAGAATCTTGGGGAAAAAAATCAAGGTTCCCACAAAAATATTAGGCAGCACTGTTTTAAACATTGATAATAACAAATGTTTCTTAAGCATCAAGAAATTAGAATGCGGCATATTAGAATGATTTCTGAAGGATCATGTGACACTGAAGACTGGAGTAATGATGCTGAAAATTCAGCTTTGATCACAGGAATAAATTATATTTTAAACTATATTCAAATAGAAAACCACACAACATTGCAGCCCACAGACTTTTATTCTATCGACAAAAAACAAGATAACGGTAAGTAAATTATGACAAAATAAAATATAAATTTTTGGTGGAATTTCCCATTGTGTTTTGTTTGTATGCTCACATTTTTGATAAGACCTCAAAAAGATCTCAGAGTAGCAGATGATAGTTACTCTGTATTTTGAAAACTGTGGCTAACACTTTATGTGTTTACAACCAACACAGACTCTGTATGGACAAAACTGCACTGCTTATTTTGAGTAGTACAATAACAGAGGGAAAGTGCAAAGCCTCATTCATCAAATGTTTTTTATAAAAAGAAATTGTTACGCCAGGGTCTTGTCGAACAGGAAAATTTGGCTTCGCTTTCACACTAAAGCAAATATTTATGCATAAAAACATCCCTCATAAATCATCTGCGCTCATGAGTGTCACACAGGAAACGGCAGCTGTCTCCATTCCAACTGCACTTTCACACATTTTTATGTGTGGCCGAATTCGGAATCTAACATAGACCGTCACACTTCTGGGAATCTCCGTTTCCTTCCCGTGATCACATGAGAGAGGACAGCTGACGAACCTGTTTACAGGGAATGGATGTCTCGGTTGACACTTGGCTCGTCCCTGACCGCCACAGGCTCCTGGTTAACGGCGGAGGTCTGCATTTCTCCACAGCGACCGCGGCTCTCGGACCTCGCCTCCGTTATCCGGCTTAGTCTCTTCGCAGACATTCTGACTGAAGTGGGTGTTGAGAATTATGGGATAGCGTTCACCCTCCACAACCAGATTCTGCCTAGAGAGACAAAAATACAGGTCTGATGGTTGTAATGTGTTGTTTTTGGAAAATAGTTACAGCAAACCTTTTGGAAATGCCAAATGATGGTTTTTATGACAGCTTGACACTTTAAAAACATTCATAAAACTCAACTGCATTGATTTTTGTCTACGTTGATAGATTGACAGCAATCTCACCAAGCACAACCACCTCCACACTTCTCACACACATAAAAGAGTCTCAAAATATCACATGAACGCTCAAGCCCTTCCCTCTCTGGGTGGAAAACAACTGTTAGTGACTGACTGATCAACAAAGATGCAGGCAGTCTGAAAACATGTTTATATCAAAACGCTTTGTACTTGGCATCTAACAGATCGACTGTGAAACAAGCTGCGCTCTTGTGATAATGGTTTGCCTTGGTGTGTCTTAGTAACAGAGCAAGAATAAGCACACAAAACAAGTGTTAGATGTTGTTTGCCAAAAGAAAGATGTGAATTTATGATTCAATGCAGAGTGGTATCTAAACATGGCTACTCCTGAAGCACCATTCATCTTTTTTTCTTTTCAAACAGATACAAATCAGCTCCAAAGTGGATCAGACTTCATGCTGATGGCGAAATGAGATAAGTTTAAGCCTACCTGGCAAAAAGCTAGAGATGCACAATTTGAGGGGGAAAAAATGAACTGCAATTTTTCTGATAAATTTGTGATTGCAATTTAGAAAAAATCCAGGTTTGCTGTGCGTGTTATAGGGCTGCACAATTTGGCCAAAAATTTGTGATTATATATCAGAATGGCGGATAAAATAATAATTATAATAATAATACATGAAAAACTAAAAAATATATATATACTAAATAAAAGTACAAAAATTACTAAATAAACCAAAAGAGGAAATATTCCAATTTAAATTTTTCACTGTAAAATAAAAACATTTAGTATTTAATTTATTTTAATAATTAAACAATAATAATTGTATTTTATATTACAACCATAAAATGAAAATAATACATAAAACACACAAAAAAATAAAAAATAATAAAATAATTTATTATAATTATTACTACTAATAAAAAACAATAAAAATACAAAAAACTTAAAAGAAAGAAATAATAAAATAAAAAATAAAATACTAAATAAAAATATAAAATTACTAAATAAGGCAAAATAAGAAATGTATTACTGCTATTGTAATATTTCACTGTAAAATAAAAATAGAGTATTTAAAAAAAAAAATTATTAAAATAATAATAATAATTTTATTTTACATTACAACCATAAAATGAAAATAATATATTAAAAAGAAATAATAAAAACAATTCATTATTATTACTAAATAAAATACAAAAACAGAGTTAAAGAATAAAATATTATTATTATTATTTTAATTATATTATTTTATTACAACCATAAAATTACAATGCTAACATTTATGGCTTATGACTTCATTTCTTTATTTTCAAGAACATTCAATCATTTACTGTGAACCGAGCCGTTTTGAGACACTGAAAATCGAAGGATGAGAACACAGTGCCACACTTCACTGTAAAAAACCCTAACCGTAATGCATGCATTTATTTAATTAAATCGCACTAAGCCATTTTGCAATTTTCAGTTTCATTCTGATTATGCAGCCCTACAGCTATGATCAGTTTCATTATTATAACTGGAAATATCTACACTATTAGGCAGTACTCACTGGAGCGTGTGCAGGAAAGTGTTTATAACTAGTTATTGATATGAAGCACATGGGGACAAAAGCCTGCAAATGACATATGTATTTCTATGAAAACATCTGCACGTTGGTTTAAAAGCACTGTCATGGATGCATGAGAATGTACCATTCCCAGGGCTTCAGAAGTAGGTTGCAAATAGCCTGATCAATCTTTGCGCTGAGTGTATAGGGTAATTTGTCACAGATCTGTTCCAAACAAACATGTCTTCAATAAACGGAGGCCTCCACTCCACTACAAGCCGGGGCCTGCAGAGCTCATGTCATGAGACGTAACACGTACGTCAGCATTCAAATCAGCCTGCCCTGAGAGAGAATTGAACAGGTGCCAGCAGAGACGAGTAATCACACTGAACCTAGTGAACTTCAGCCAACAGCGCACAGCTCCAGGGCAGCCAGCAAAGGCAAGTTTACACAGGAGAGGTGGAGGTCCTCTCCACCCTAGTGCAAACAAGCGCTTTTCTCAACATGCTGTCAAACTAAGAAGAATAGGATAGAAAATTCCAGTCTTTGACAATCCAACAGTGACAGGTCAAAAAATCAAGATAATATATATATATTTTTTTTTTTTTCTTTTTTTTTTCTTGTTGGCCATTAAGTCTAGAAACGAGAAAGTATTTTTACTGTGTGCAATAACTAATAATATTGTAAGTAATATTATAATTGATAAAATTATTTATAATTTTAAAATTTATCATTATAATTTAATTTGATTGTATAATTTATCTACATTTTAGAATAATAAAGTAATCAAAACTATGAAATACTAACACTAATGGAAGCATCACAGGTAATCAAAACTATCTTGTATTTTAACATCTTATATTTCAACCAAATTCATGAGGTGCATCATGGGATGCTTTTCCAAAAATCTTGAAGGCATTCCCATATATGCTGGGCCTTTTTTTGTGGCTATTTTTCATATCCTGTCAAATTGTTATTATTTTTTTAATATCTTATTTTTAAAATAAAATAAAAATAATTTTTTTATGTTTTTAAGTTATATTTAGTGTTTTTATGTTTTTTATATATATATATATATATATATATATAAAACTGACTTTATTACTCTAAGATGTAGATAAATGATTAATAAATATTTTAATTGTAAATCATTAAAATTAAATTAAAATTAATAATTAGAATTTAATATCATTTAATAATTTTGAAATCATATATTTAATTATAATTACACATTTAATAATTAAACATTTTAATATTATAAACCATTTTTTAATAAATTACAATTTTTATAAAAATTAGATCCTATCATACTACTACTAATAAGAAAATAAGAAATAAGTAGGCCTATTCCTTTAAGTTCCTGCATACAAAAAAAAAATTCTCTTTTTATCAGAAATCATATACATATAAAAATACAAAGCAAAGTCTTAGTGATCAGGTGCACAGGAAAATAAAGTCTTAGCAGAGATTTGTTAAGCTCAATGCACACAGAATCACATCGCGATCGTGATATACGTGTGAATGCGTTTCCAGTGGATCTGAGCAGGAAGTCTGAGAACAAACACAAGAGAGTATGCTGACGTCAGAGCTGACACAAACAGGTGAGGGTGCGGCACAGGTGTAATCACTACCTAGTGATGACCGGTATTTCCTTTATAGCTGAACCGTGAAGAAGCTGGGAACAGTGTGTGTGTGTGTGTGTGGTTGTGTGTTTATGTGCAAGGGAGTTGGTCATCAGAAACACTCCAATACAGGCAGTATGGTGAACATAATCCAAAGCAGTTTACATGACTGTCAATTTTTGACTCAGACTTTAATGTATGGCAAGTGGTTCTCAAATGCCACCATTAATAATATACTGATATTAATAATATACTAACCATTAATAATATACTAATATGCTGCCACCAAATAATAAACCGAAACTATATATGCAAAATAACATTTTTAAAAAAACAATACGTTATCAACTTGGAGATGAAAATATTTCCCATATCTTTTGTTGTCGTTGTTAACAGCCACGCATCCGATCAAACTGCAAAAATTTAGTGCAAATACCTCTATCACTTGGTACATAGAAACTAACCAAATTCGATGGATAACAAGAAAGTCAGGTTAAAAAGGATATTTAGAAACCCAAACTGTCAATTTCTTTGCTCGGTTTGAGAACAGAGACAACCTGACAACGGTCACAATTCCAGCCACAGAGGATGATCAGCTTCGGACACTGAGCATTTGTGATGTACATCGCATGTGGCGGCCGGAGAGTAAATCCGCACAAAGCTCAGGGACTGTGCTGAACAACTTGCTGGAGTTTTCACTGACATCTTCAATCTGTCATTGTCTCCGGCATCAGTCCCCAAGTATCTAAAATCAGCCATCATTGTGCCAGTGCTGAAGAAAATGAACATCACTTCTCTAGACGACTATTGACCAGTGGCCCTCACTCCAATAGCGATGAAGTGTTTCGAAAGACTCATCCTCTCGCACACTCCAAAGTGTGAGACTTAAAGACTCCATACCGGCCTCACTCGACCCATATCAGTTTGCATACGGAGCGAAACAGGTTCACAGAGGAAGCCATCACCCTGGCTCTTCACACTGCTCTGAATCACCTGGAGAGACAGAACACGTCATGGACTATAGCTCTGCATTCAACACTGTCATCCCCTGCAAACTGACCAGAAAACTCCACCAGCTAGGCCTGAGCCCACTGCTCTGCAACTGGATACAAGATTTCCTGGCAGAGCGCCCCCAGGCAGTGAGACTGGGCCCCTACACATCCTCCACCATCACTCTGAGCACAGGTACACCACAGGGGTGTGTGCTCAGTCCTATCCTGTACTCCCTCTTCACCCACGACTGTGTTCCTGCATCTGACACCAACACCATAGTAAAGTTTGCAGATGACACGACTTTAGCTGGCTGATCACAGACAATGACGAGTCAGCCTTAGACTTGTGCCGGTATTCGGTAATGCGATATATCACGGTAATGAATATGCACGATATTGTTATCGTGGGCACTTCTAAATACCGTGAATAATTATATATAACAAATTATTCAGAATTTTGAATGCATTTCTATAGAGCGGAGATCCAGAACCTAGAGGACTGGTGTTTGAGGAACAACCCGTCTCTGAATACTGGCAAGACCACGGAGCTCATCGTTGACTTCAGGAGATCCCAGAATCGGAATTATGCTCCAGTCTTCATCAGCGGAGAGAGGGTGGAGAGGGTTCCCAGCATCTGTTTTCTAGGGGTTCACATCACAGAGGACCTTACCTGGACCACTAACATCACTGCACAAGTAAAAAAGG